CTCTTTTTTTCAGATGTTAAAGATGATAAAAGGTGATACAATAGCATTTACTAAGGACACAAGGGAAGCAATTAAAGATAATGAACTCATTTTATTTCCTATAATTGATCGTTAGCATTGGATTTTGTTAGTAGAGGAGTTAAAGGGAAGAAAATGGAAAATATATGACTCACTGCCTAACCCGATGCATAAAGTGGCTGCTGTAGAACTTGTAAGTACATTTGACACAATTTACAAATTAAATTCAATATTTTTTATAGTAAACAATACTACTTGATTGAAATAATAACACCACTACTATCTTTACAGGTCAAACATTTTGCGAAAGATAATGAACAAGCATTCTAGTCCAACATAACAAAGTGGGCAATGTTCGCTCCTCGAAATATTCCTACCCAAAGTAACATCCACGACTGCGGCATGTTTATATGCAAGTATATGGAAACCTTAGTACAGGTTAGCACAATCGAATGGAAAGATCACTTAAACCGGCAATATCTTATGGTACAATTTAGAGCTCAGTTTGCCTATGTGATTTGCATGTGGGCTTGCCAAGCATAAGGAAGAACTGTGCATTGTAATTTTATTGAAGGTATGTTTGTTGAACTGTGCTTTGTATAGAGTAAAAGTTATAATGTTGAAATGTGCTTTGTAAGTTTATTAAGAGTTTTGTAACTTTCACCATTCAATGCAGCTTAGCATATGATATGTAATCTGAAAGTGCAAAAAATTAAGAATTTTGTATAGAGTAAGACTTTTCAGTAATATGATCTGTAAATTTTCAAATATTTTATGATAATATATTTTTATATGCATAATTAAAAATCATCAATGAATTTAAATGTTGATACAACTAATTTTAAATTTTAAATAACGCAGTGGAATTGCTGAATAACATAGTGGAAAGGAAAAATAACCCACAAGGAAGATAAAATAACGCTTAGGGAATATTCGGAGCACGTTACGTGCTTTTTATACTCATCGTGAATGGGAAATAACACATTTAAATGTCGATACAACTAAGTTTAAATTTAAATGTCGATACAACTAAGTTTAGATAAATAACACATCAGGAATGGGAAATAACATAGAGGGAAGGCGAAATAACGCAGCGTGCTGGCGAAATAACACCTAGAGAATATTCTGATCACGTTACACGTGATTTATACATACCGAAAAGATAAATAACGCAGCTAAATGTGAGAATAACGCGTCGGGAAGGCAAAATAACACAGCCGCAAACTAAGTAACACATGGAGAATATTCCTAGCATGTTATGCTGGCTTAAGTGATCACGAAAGACATAAATAACATGGTTGAATGACAGAATAACACAGCGGAAAGGGAAAGTAACGCAACCGAAGACAAAGTAACACAGGGAGAATATTCAGAAAACGTTACGCCCGGTTAAATCGGGTCGTAGAATTGGTAATGGCGTTATTTTCTATGTTTCTTGTGTTACAATGGTGTTATCAATGTGTTATTGGACTATAATCTGAATGTATTTGTGTTATTAATGTGTTATAGGAATGCTCTTCACATTTATTTTCATCATTATTAAAGCTATAACTTAAACAACACCATTAGCAACATATTAAAGCTATAACATAACCAACACCAAAATCTGGTCGTGGAATCGGTAATAGTGTTATTTTCGATATTTCTTGAGTTACAAAGGTCTTATCAATGTGTTATTCGACTATATATTGAAGGTATTTGAGTTATTAATGTGTTATAGTACTGCTCTTCACATGTAATTGCATAATTATTAAAGTTGTAACATGAACAACACCATAACCAACATATTAAAGCAGTAACATAAAAAACACCATAATTATTACACCTTCGACACAAATACATTGATTTATAATAAATCAAAGCTCAGTTATGGAATCCATCAATAATTCGATGAATGATTGAGATGATATTTGCGATGGAAAAATTTTTTGTCATGTTGTAAAGAAAACACGTTTTAGAAAAATAGATTAAAATAAATCCCTAATGAAAAACATGTTTTATTTCATTTTTATACCAGGCTTAGACAGTCAGACATAATTGGATCGGATGGAAAAACATGTTCCCGGCTAGTTGATTGTTCAAGATATTTTCCTATACGCAGAACTTATGGTTAGAGAAGGGAAATAAAACATAAATTGAAGTAGTTCATTTAATGTAGAGAAATATACTTTTGGATCTTTTATTTTTCTCCCAATATCCTTTCAATCTAGAAGTAGAAACACCTTTTGGCCTCCTCTTTGTTGGGTCAGCCACATTACATATATATTTGATTTTTTTTCTTCTTCGCTTTTCTCTTAACAATAAGTGTTTCTCCAGCTTTTGCTTCATCAATATTTACAGATAGCTTTTTTAAATATTTCCCATATCATCTACTCAATAAATTTGTCTCCTTGTGCTTTATTGATTAGTTGGTACGCAAACTTCTGAAATTGTGAATGGAATAGCAGGCCACTTGAAGAAACAACCATAATTTGGGACTCCCTTAGATGTGTGTATTAAAACATATTATAAATGTCTCTTTTAGCATGATTAGACCATCACAATGGCAATTATTTTTCAAGAATGAGTTTTCTTTTAACCACATTAAAAACATGCAGAGCATTGGAACACAACAACCCTTTCATTTCAAACATCTTGCAACTACAAGTGACATTGGAGTTAACTCTGTCAAAATTTACAACCCAAGTCGTGGATGTGTCATCATTATCCAAATTGCATATATAATATTTGGACCCACTATCTGTGGCGAATTCAAGTGTGAGTCCACATAAACCATTAAGCAGCTCTTGCTCGAGCATTGAGTAAAGCTTCCTCGTATAAAATGAGGAAGCTTGCCTCAAAACTGGGTTGACTCTAGCCATCGACTTAGTGATAGATTGACTACATTTGAAATCTTCGTCCTTTTCGTTCCTGCGCCGTGATTTTATTATATTTTCTAAGCCAATAAAACAATATGTCAAAGAGCTTGTGAGCTTCAAAACACCATGACATATATTATTTGTGGACTTACTTCTTTGAGTTGATATGATTCTCATTCCAAATATTTATTTATTGAAGGCAGTGGACCATTTATGTCTGATTTTGTACATCTCATGCAACCATACATTACTGTGTAGGTTACCCATTAACATCAATAAGGACCAAGTTTCTTCGAATTCCTCTGAATCGCATTTACTCATGTATTTATAAAAAAGATTGGTGACACTCTTGATGAAAACTCCACATTGCACTTTTGAAGTAATTTTTTTGTATATATGTCATTGACATAATCTATGTCGTGTTTGTGGAAGACATTCTTCAAAAGCCCTTTTCATTGCTTGGTCCTGATCACTGAAAATACTTAATGGATGCTTTTCCCCCATTACTCTTATAAGAGCTTCGAATAACCATCTAATAGAGTCAATAGTCTCCTCGGACAAGAAGCTAATCCCAAACAGGACGTTTTGCCAATGGTGGTTAACTCCCACAAAGGGAGCGCAACATAAATTATACTTATTTAATCTATAGCTTGTATAAGAAATGATTACATCCCCAAAACAGTAATAATCCAGCCTGTATAACCCATCACAAAAAAAAAAAAAAACCTTGTTAATCTACCATTCTCATCAGTTTGGAAATCTCATGCAAATATGCTATCATCGGCTTGCCTCCCCACGAACAATTGTATTAGAGAATTGACATCTTCTTGTTCAATTTTTTCTCTTCTTTCTCTTTGAATGAAATTGAACGCATCCCTCTTCATGCATTCCAAATTCTCTATTCTCCCACCCTCCGTAACAGTGAAGTTATATGCATTCGTTGCTCCGATCCATGATCTTGTCATTGATCTCAGGACATCTACATTTAAGTCAGTTATCTTTTTATGGAACGAAGAAGATGCTTATCACCACATTTAGCCAAAGGATGGTTGTGACTTTCAATGAATTTCTTTCCTGTCTAGTTGCCTTCAAGGTCAACTTCATAGTGAACTATATTGACAGCTAGTCCTCGTGTCTGATTTTTTGTACTTTACTGTATTCATAAGGTTAGACTCCTCCTTGTGACCAACTTTTCCACAATGAAAATCTTTGGTTTTCATTTTCTTCGAATTCAACCAATAACAACTGTCGTCTTCCGAACACTGAAACCTACATGATGTGCATAGACACAATAAGTTTCATAAGCTTCTTACTCATTGTGGACGATGGTGCTAATAAACTTCTTCGCAATTGGATCATTGCAAACAGTTATCTGCTCACATGACTGCATATTTACACAAATTAAGGCCATTATCAGCAAGAATAACACAGCGTAACCCCAACATAACAACAGAATAACAGTAGAATAAAACAGTAAAACCTGACAGACATTCATAATAATAACGCTATACTGATACCATACAACATCACAAAATAACTAAGAAATAACACAACAACAACCACCAAAAGAACACACAAGAAAAACATACCAGTACCACCACTAAGACTAACAATAACACTACAATAATGAAAGAATAACACAACAAAATAGTTAAATAACACAACAACAATGAGCCAAAATACATCATATTACCATTACCATTTAAACATGAACAAAACCACTATTATACCACATTAACAAAAAGTAACCCTGAACCCAAAAAAACTGCAATAACCCAGTGTAACACCAGACTAACACAGTAAAACTCAGCGTAACACCACAATAACACTATAAAACCCAGTAAGCATGCATGAGAATAACATTAAACTTATACCATTATATAACTACAGTGCAAAAGTAAAACCTAGTTTCAATCTCAAGATACCAAATAACAAATAAAAATAATATATATTATAAAAATAACACCATTATCAGATCAAACAAACAACAATGCAAGTTTGAGCTAAACAGAAACTATTACCTAAACTAAGTTGGGCAAAAATGATGGCTTACTAAGCAGAGTTTTTACGAATAAATATTCGGGCCCTCGCGTGCCTGTTCTTCTTTATTTTCGGAGGTATGAGTGTAGGTCATTCAAAGCCAGGTGTCTGATTGGCCTCCGATGGTTCTTCTCAGTCCTGATAGAATAATTTTCCCGTTCATTCTGCTTCCAGTCGTCCATTTTCCCTAGCAAGGAGAGTGCCAAGCTTGAGGGCTGATGGCGGGAGTGGCAGCGGCTAACGGCTTCCCTGTGCTCAATTTGCAGGCTTACCTCGAGGGGAAAACTGTATTGGAGACGAGGGCGTTGGTTGCTGATCTTTGCAGGCAGTTCTACACACTTGGCTGGGTCTCTGGCACCGGCGGCAGCATCACCATCAAGGTACACGACGATTCTATTCCCAAGCCTGACCAGCTCATCGTCATGTCTCCCTCCGGTAAACCTGTTCTCTACTCCCCCTCTCCTTCTCTTTCTCTCCATATATATTTCCTGACTAAGTGGCTGAATCTTTTGTGGCATCATCAGGCGTTCAGAAGGAGAGGATGATCTCTGAAGACATGTATGTGCTTTCCAGTGGTGGCGAGGTGCTGTCCAAACCTTGCCCCAAATCCTACCCTCATAAGACGCCCAAATGTTCGGACTGCGCTCCTCTCTTCATGAAGGCAAATATTCCCATTCTTTCATTTACTTAACTTTTTACTCATTGCTATTGACTTGGATAATCTTTTTCTGGGTTTGTTTTTTAGGGCTTAGCACAAGATAAGTAGTCAGATAATTGAATTGAGCTTTAATGAAATGTAAGCGGCTTGATTGGTCCCAATGATATGATGATATAAGTTGGCATAAGTTCAGAAAAATTTTCAATTGTGATATGAAACTATGATATAGGGTCAGCGACATGGGCGGCATATCACAGCAAGATCGACATGAGCAGGATGCGGACTAACTAGGGATGCGCAATTTTCTTAGTTTTGATGGATCGGTTCACTAATTAGTCAAACTAAATTAAACCGAAATCTGAAATTCAATAAATAGAGCTGACGAAGCTTTTGCTAAAACCGATCCAAATAGAACTGAAATATAATTTGGTTTAATCGATTGGTTTACAGCAAACTAAGAGTTAGCATACAGCAAACTAAAAGTTAGCATTTGATCTAACATAATTATAAGTTAATCTTCTATTTCAAAAGTAAAATTTTTTTTTCTCACTTGTATACTCACAAACTCTTTAAAATTAAAATTTTCAAATTAACTTGAAATAAATATGTACGCTCAATTTATTTTTTTTTCCAAATGAATTTAATTTCATAATCTTAATATTAGTTTTTTTGTTTCTTTGATTTAATGAATATTAAAACCAAATTGAAAATAAAAAATCAAATATCAAAACTTTAAATACCAAAAGCTGAATTACATGCTTAAAACTGAACTGATTCAACCAAATGAGCTCACTTCCATTTGGTGAGTTTTAAGGTTATTAATGATTTTGGACACTTGTTACCTTCTAGTTGTATTGATGAGATCTGTAATCATTATGGTAAATTGGGTACAAGTGCCTAAGGTCCTTCTTCAAGATGTTTAACAAAGAATGATATACTACTGTTTTCTTAAATGTTCTTCTTTCTCTGTTTTCTTCTCTAGTTTCTTGTCTTCTGAATTTTCTTCCCTTAGCAGTAATCTATATTTTTGTCTTCTTGCTCAATCCTGTTTCTAGAGCTTCCGATGAGCCTTGATTGCTGGTTATCCCCATTTTTTTGTGTTCTTATTGATTGTTCGTTCCCAATATCAATCCAATTATTCCATGTTTGATGATTTGCATTTGTCAATAAAGAGAATGATCACCTCTCTAACGCCGATGAACAATTGGTTTAAATTATTGATATCCTTTATAAAGTTTAGCCACGATTAACCTTGCTTGGGGTCAAGCGCATATAAACTAGTGAAGTTATGTAAATTATAAAACTGATAGTAGCAGTGACAAATAGTATGCCAAAATACATGGCAGATTAGCTTTTAAAACAAAATGGATTGTAATATTAGTATCACGTTAAGTTTAAAAAAATCAGCAATATTACGACTTACACAAACTCCTGGATGAAGTTGTTAAACTGACTTTCACTTTATTCCATATGGACGGGCTCATAGAGGAATGGTACTTTTGGTTGGTAAAGAAAAAAGTGTTTTATCTTGGGTAAATTTCCTCGTCACTTTGCATTGCGGATTCTGTCCATCAAAATAATGGAACTTGCAGTGTGAACTAGCCAAGCTCATACTAACATTAACTGTTGCTATTGCCAAGTACAGTATGAAAAACCATCGTATTGATGAAGTATTTGTACAATGCTATTTTGAATTTTTAGACTAAAAGTAGCCATTTGTAAAGAGGTGTGCGTAATTTGCCTAGAGTCTTTGTAAAGCCATTGAATTATCGAAACTCATTGAGGATAAACTTACCGATGGATGCCTACACCAATCATCCAGGGTGCCTGGAACTAGATCACCTGACAAAAATGCATAAAACACCAAGCTGATGAACATGGTTTGGACATTGAGCTATAGTTGGGCGATCTACTCTCATCCAATTCCAATGGCACTGATAAACATCACTACAAATTGAACAATATTCCAAGCTAGATTGATCATATTTTTGTCCTTTCACTCTATTTGAAAGAACTAGCCTTGTTGCTTATCAACTGGACTTACCACTTGTCCATAACTCATCTAGTATTCCATGTATTTCTGCTTAAACAATATGAAGGAAATAACATCCTGCATCAAACTTCACTCTAACTAGATATATGGAACAACCACACATTGGTTCAACTAGTCTTCATACGTCAGTCCTTCTCGATAAGAAAACACTAAATCTACAGACTATCCAATGGGACAACCTACCACCTGAGCCTGCAACATTGATTATCAATGAAGAAAGGCACATCACGTTCCTAACTTCAGCATTGAGAACAAGACCATACTTCTGAGGGATATGGGAATTGATACAAACCTAAGATGCAGTGGCAATAACATTAGTGACATGAAACAACAAGACTGATAGGAGCAGACTGCAAATTCACCTGGCCAATCATTAATGGTGCTAACTACACTGACATGATTGTGCGACTACTAGGTATAAGAAGGCTAAAGAATGGGTGAGCATGGGGTACTAAATTAAGCGCGTCATTATATGTATGTCGCTGTAACAAATTGGACTGGTGTTTATTTTTGGTCTACTTATTTGTTAGGGTTGTTTTAGTGATATGGGACACTTATCATCATTTGGTTGTACTGATGGGAGTTGTGATAATGTGAAAAATTGGTTATAAGTGGCTATGGTTCCTCTTAAAAAAGCTTAGTGGAAAATGATAGACCAATTGTCTCATAAAAATTATTTTTCCTTTATTTTCTTCTTTAGTTTCTTGATCTCTAATTTTTTTTTTCTGTTTTCATTTCTGTTTTTTGTCTTCTCACCTTAATCCTATTTTTGGAGTTGCATAGCAGCATTGAGCCGCCTTCATTCTTATTAAAGTTTAAATTGGCTTAAAGCTTATTTACTTTAACACATCATGCTCCTTTGTTATTGCATAGCCATAATTTGATGTATTTTTAAGGAAGCGGGAGATATTTTTAAACTCAAGTTTAAATAGCAATGTATTTAATTTATTTAAATGTTTTTTTTTTTTTTGTGAAATTCTAGCAACATCTCAAATTTTGACCTTTTGAAAGCTTTTATGGATGAGGTAACACAATTCATATCAACTACGCAATTTTCAATGAGATTTCTATGATACATAAACTGTGGTTGATGATTTACCATCGATTACATTCATATTAAATTACATTTACTTGCATATAAGTAAACCTGATAGGAAGCAAGCAAAGCATGTGCGAAGCCTAAAAAATAAGAATTCTCTTGCGCTCTTCATTAGTGATTCACTTTGTTTTGTAGTCATTCATTGAGTCATTTTAACTCAAACATTGATTCCTTAATTAATTAAAATTTTATTAAAGAAGATGACTGTCCTTCATTTATACTAATTTCATGGTAATAATCACTAGTGTAGCTATTATCTTAAAATTGACATTCTTCTTATGTGGCATAAATGTTAGAACTTCTCTCACTAGAGTGAAAAAAAGCAACATAGTATCACAGCATGAAAGAAATGGATACAGGAGTTAACCTAAACAACAATTGGTAAGCCAAATATTATTGCTGAAAGCAAATGGGCCATTACAACCTACGCACTTGAAAGGAAAAATACTACAACACGACACCCGAAAATCTGAAATAGCAACATACATGACACAACACTCAACTAAGGGGTAGATGTAACTATGTTGGTGCTGGTCGATGAGGGTCTGGGAAGGTGGCGTGAGGGTGAAAAGACAGTTGACAATAAGAATACAACAAGGCGGCTGTTTCCCTGGTGCCATACAACAAACAAACAACAGGGAGTGATGTGGGAGGGCTACCCGGGTGATGGCAGCAAACAACAGTGAATGGCTGAAAAAGACATTTCTTGGTTGTGACAGCAATGGAGGAGAATAACAACAACAAAGGGGAGCAATTGCGACAATGGTAGCAAGTTGGAGTAAAGGAAACGGATGGCCGGGCAGTTGGAAAAATAGAAAATAGATGGGAATGGTTGTTTCTAATCGGCGGCATATAGTAGAAATGACGACGACGACGACAGGGAATATGTGGGACTGCAGGATAGTCAAGGATGGACTGTTCTATTGGCTACGATAGCGAGGACAATGGCTGGACAGTGAGGAAATTTTGGAAGAACAACAATGATGGCTTGTTTGAGGCTGCTGCAACAGTGGAAGGAAAACGAGAGTGGCATTAGGAGGATGTGGAAGGGGATAGGGAAAATAATTACCATCTCGGGAGAGAAATACAATAAGTGCACTATCCAAACCTTCGGATACAACCCTCAAAGGGAGAAAACGGATGCCGGTGGTTGCCGCTAAACAAACTCACACACAAACTAACCCTAGAACAACAAAAATACAAATATATAATGAGTGGTTAACTAGGAGTGTGGCCCACTCCAATTGGACTGCAAGTCTAAGGAAAAAAAAAAATTCTTCTGGTGCTCACAAATTCTAAGCTGAACCCACCCAACGCCGGCTCCCTCCTGTTGTAGTGTGGGAGACTTATGCTTGCGTTAGTCTCTCCCGTTCGGGGGAGCTTTGACCCCATTCGTCGAAGCTTCTATCCATTAGTTGAAAGTAGCAGAGCTGCTATAAACTCTTGGGGTTGAAGGGTCTTATACTGTGGTTCAAGAAGGACCTGATGGTTGAAAAGATGCAACTTAAGCCTTGGTAACTTAAACCATATTTGTACTGTAGGTGGTTTTTGGTTAAGCTCAAATTCAGGAGACCACTTGAGCGACTTAATAGTTTTTCCTTCAACGGTGAGGAGTTTCCTAAAAAAAATCCTAGCATAGTCTTTGACTGTAGTAATTGTATCATCACATTTCTCCCATCAAAGAGTCCCACCTTCCATTGTCCTACAAGTTTGAGATTCTCAAAAGCTTTGCAAATAACCTTCATTTTGTGATGCCCCAATTGAAATTTCCCAATGAGTGTGAATTTGCATTTTTCAACCAGAGTAGTGACTTTGAGGTCTGAAAAAAAAGAGCGGCCTTACCACCCTTCCTACAAGCCCTCTTAACAAACGGACAATCAACTTTCCCTTCAAGAGAATGATGATAGATCTGATGAAACACCACATGCTCGACAACCTTCTCAGAGTCTTGACCCTTATTAAGCACCTCAACAAAAGATTCTTTACATAGATACTGATTTGAGTGAGGAATAGTAGCCATCAAAGCAGAGGATAAAAAATGGAGAAAGGATGCTGCAGGGGGAGGCGTTGTCAAAAAGAGGAGCTGTTGTGCCGAAGAAGAGGATGAAGAGCAGATTGCGGGTGCAATCTACGTCGAAGTCGATGAAACCTTGCGTGCGGCTTTTGCGATGACGGAATTCTTTCGCTTGGTTGGACGAGTGAGGATCGAAGGAGAGGACGAAGGCAAGGCTTTGTGAAGCCGAAGCTTCGTTCGTGAACTAGGGTACCAACGAACCTGCTACGACGCTCCCCTTCCCTTTGTGGAGTAGGACAAGGCTTTGTGCGAGAGCTAGGGTGGTGACGAACTTGTGACGACGCTCCCCTTCCCTTCTTTTTCGAGTACAACGAGACGACGACGCGACGAACAGGCTTCGTTCTCGTTTCGACGTAAGGATATCGAGGGCTACTCGAGTTTCCATGGAATCACGACTAGAGCAAACTCTAGCAGAGCAAAAGCCATCGAATATATATATATATATATATATATCCGTATATATATATATAGATAAATAGAAAATAAGCAGTATTAGATTAAGTAAATTTAATACTTAATCAAAAAGGTAATAATTTATTAAAATAATCAATTAATTAAATTTAATACATGTTTATTTTAGGCCTTCATATATTAGAAGGATTGACTTCAAATAACAAATTAATCGGCATTGAGGTAAAAACTTATATCCTTATACTATGATGATATTTTATTTCTTCTGGTCCAAATGCATTAATTGTACTATCTATTGTTATATTGAAATTACTGCAAACTCTTGATTTTAAATTCTAGTGAATTTTTATTCATATTGTAGGAATGATATGAGTGCACAAAATTATCCAAATGATTTATAAGTATATAGAATGATACGCAAATATGAATGAAATAAATTTTTTAGTAAATAATGATATTGTTAGAATGTTTATTTTGCATGACTTACTATGATAGAGTCACTCTTTTATGGTACTAGTGAGAACGCTAAGGTATTTGTGCACGTATATGAAAAAATATATTGATATTGAAGAACCTTAGATGGTATCATTTTTATATGGTGCTCCTATGACAATTAACAAATACAGAATGATATTGGCTATTGATATAATAAGATTCATTGATAGCTTCTAAAATGTTAATATTGATTTATTAAAAATTTAACTGATGTGCATTTTACTTTTTTATTCCTTGTATTGTTGTAGTTTAGGAATATAAATATTCACTGACTTGTTTAGATCATTGTTATTTTAAACCAATTTTTCAGGTTAATTAATCAATTATAAGTGGAGTAATATAAGGGATAATGCTTATAGAAGACGTTGTCATAACGAGATAAATTTAAATATATTGTTTTAATTTAATTTGATCAGTGACTCTTTCATTTATTAAATAGTAAATTTAATTTCCACAGTCCGACCGTTTGTTTTCATTTTGATTAATTTTCATCTCTCTCTCTCTCTCTCTCTCTCTCTCTCTCTTGCTGCCCATTCGCCTTCTTAAAATGGTGTAGTTGATACATTGGGTGAGTTCAATTGACCCTCCTTTTTTATCACATTCAATAACGATTCATGTATTTATTTTGAAACGTAAACACACTATATTTTTTTTAATATTAAATAAGAGTTTAACGTTTTTTTTAATATGAAATTATTTAAATCTTTAACTATTTTTAAATTGCCTATATCATTTATTTTTAATTATTTTGAGCAATTAGTTTATTTTAATTTAGTTTGATCTCATGGCTTAATTAAATCTTCAAATTAACCATGAGATTTAATATATTTATTTTATGTAAAATTTTAGGTCTGCATAGAGAACTATGAAAGCAAGAGTTTGCGGGTTTGAATTGGCGAGCTATGTAAGAAAGAGGCATGTGAATGTGAGTCTTGAACTTGAGAGTCATGAAAGCAAGACATTGGCAACTGGAGGAATGAAAGCAAGGTTGCAAAGATGTGGGCTTCAAATTTCAAAAACCATAGGCTGAAGGGTTTATAGTTTCATCTGTGCTATAGTGCCGTTTATGAAGATGCATAAACCTCTTGTAAGGTTGAGCCAATGAGGTCCAAACTGAGAGACAATGAGATGCGCGGTTAATACATCATGCAATGGGCCACAAACATCATAGTTATACAAATCAACATTTACACCTACAAGCACATCATCCTTTTAACAACGATGAGGAGAACTTAGTTTTTATGAATCATAGGTTGTCGATTTACTTTTAAATAAACATTTCTTTTAATGAAACTTATTGTTCAAAAGTTTCTTTTAATGAAGCTTTTTGTTCAAAAGTTGAGGGGTAAGGTAGTTGTAAAAATATTCTCCTCGATGCTTAAATGATTTTCATGTTTCCTTTGGACACATGTCAGACAGGCATGACTCTAATAGTCAGAACATGTATCTACCTTTTAAAAATTGTGCTAAATTTACTTCAGGCTAAAATCAGGTTTTGACCCAGATAGGAACGAAGACACATCATGACATGTGGAATGTAGAAAAAAAAAAGTGTTAGGCACACTTTAGTGAAATATTCTTCTGTGTACCCCTCTTGTCTCTTGTGCATGTGCGTACCTTGCCATTTCTTCACATTGTCTTTCTATGCCATCTTTCCATGTCTCTTTCATGTGCAAGAAGTAGCGTCATAATGTGTCTTTCTCGATCTTTCATAAGCGAGATGCTGTATTTAAGTGCATTGCCTTTCATATTTTCCATAAGCAGACACCATAAATGAAGAATCAGATGCTGCTGGTAAGGTCTTCAATCCTCTTAATAGAAATATTAGAAATTTTATATATTACATTAAGAATTTATAAAATATAACATTGTACTCATGCATATTGTGTTTTACACTTTATATTTTAGCCGGCTTATGCTTTCTATCTCTATGTCCATGTCCATAATTTATAGTTTTTCCTGCTTATTTTCCTTATTTCTATTGGAATTTTAGTTTGTGATGAAAATTTTGATAGTTATGTTGACATGTGATTATAGGTTATCACGACCTATGTTATAATTTTGTTTCGGAGCACATTTAGGATATTTAAGGACATGATTGCTTATGTTTTACTTACCTTTTGTACTTTTTATATGATAACATCTGTTATTAGTTTATTTATATAAATTTAACCGGATTTTTGTAGGCCTATCAAATGTGCAATGCTGGGGCTGTTATTCATAGTCATGGGATGGAGTCATGTCTAGTAACAATGATAAATCCCCTCTCAAATGAGTTTCGTGTATGTTTTGAACTTCTCAGTTGAGGCACACCATACTGGAGTATGTTTTAATGTTTTCTTAGACCATAGAAAATATTTGCATGACCTTTAGTATTTTTTGAATTTATTTGCATGTACTTGGTATTTATTTTGTTTATAGCTTTTTAATGAAACTAATCTGCCTATATGAATGTTCAATATTTGTTTTTTCCACACCGTATCACATGAACATGCACTAAATCTTTATCAGCTAACAAAGGGTCTATGATTGGCTAATGTTATATTTACTTAAATAAGGTTTCTCATCGGAGTTATTAAAGCAAGGACAATGTAATAAATGATAATTATTTTTTTTATCAGTTGTATGACTAAAAATTATATTTATGCCCAAAAATGAAAAATATGTATATTATATGGTTTGATTCCTAAATTCAAGGTAAACAGTGATGGTATAAATCACCTTAAAATTATATATTCTATTGTCAATTTATATGGAGCTATTTAGCTGAACTTAGCAAAATTGAAAGCTGAAACTTTGTTTTATTCGATTACTGGCTATGTTCGGACAAGGTTAATGATGATGATGAGTAAGGATAATTATGATGATAAATATGTAGGAGCAAATTTAGAGCAAGACTGTCGAAGTTAAGAAGCCTTAACTTATGAGATGGGCCACCAAAAAACAGGGGCATTTGATTGTCCCTTTTTGAAATTTGATTCCTCAATGGAATGAAATGATAATGCATACAAATGCCTTGGGAAAATTTATTTCATTAGATTAAATTGTGAATTGAGGAATATTTTCTAAAGTATTTTTGAATAATACAATCAGATATTATTGTTCAAAATTTTAAAATAAGTATTGCTATGACTTTCGAAAAACATAATGTGTTTTGAGTAATGCAAATGTACATTTGCCATTAGGAGTTTTTAACTATTGGGCTTTGCAAAAGTTCCTTTTGTTTGTTGAGCAGCATCATTCTATGACTTCAAAATGACTGTTGCATGTCAACAAATATTCATGTTTTTGATCTTACAGTTAGTTGATTCTTTTGAATAAAAACTTTGAAAGCATGATAATACATACATGTCTATGTGCAAATATTATTTATAACTCGATGTATAGGTCTAGGCGTATTGTTGCTGTTTTCTTTATGTTTGGAATGCTTGAATTATTATAATTTAGATCTCAAAAGACTTGAGCAAGTTATATAAAAAAATTATCTTAATTTATTAAAATTAAATAATCGATGACACGTAATAGGGCACAATGGAGAAAAAAGATTCATGTAGCCGCCGCACCTAGTCGGAGAAAGGCTTGTTGTTGTTGTTGTGTAATGTTTGAATGGATTATTGCGTATGTACATTAATTAGCTATTTTATTCTGCAAGAAGAAACTCTTATCTTACTGTACTTGCCCTGTTCATTGTTTTAGATGCCCCTGGCAGCTAAGATAGGTTATAATCATATCATCATTTTTATTGCAAAATGAGGCATCGCCAATTCATGTCTTGAATTCAATGTGAAATGATGAGATGAGTATTAATTTGAATTCACATGATTAGTGGTTGACATTTTTCTAACTCAACATGAATAAGCATGCACAAGATGATGGCTTCTCTCATGAGAGGACCGATCTTTGTGGAGGTAGAGATGACTTTGTTGGCAGCATGAATGGGAACCAAATATAACTTGAGTGTGAAAATTAGTATTGTGATTTTCTTTTTAAAATTTTTATTTTATTTTAATGAGTATTTTGATAAAAAATAACAGTGCTATTGCCGGGTCTCAAGTCCCAGATGTGAAAAAGTGAAAGGTTGTGTTAGGTAGTTAACAATCAATGTAAAATTTTTGTCAAAAAAACCATGACTTGAATCCTTTAAATCATTGCCAGGGCATTCACAGGAAGCGACGTACTGTATGACCTGAATACAACGAAAGTGTGCAAGGGCCGCTATACCGGAGCCCCGGTATAGTGTTAAGCAAATGTTTTCATATTATGGATGGGTGCATGCAAAAAAAATTGTCCATGAAACAAATTTTATGATAGGATCTTGTAGTATAGGTACTCTCACAGATAAATTAACAGAATTAATAGATATTATGATTCATAAGAAAATAAATATCTTATATATTTAAAAAACTAAATGAGTTGGAGAAAATGCTAATGAGGAATCATATGAGAAATGATATATGTGTAACTATAGATAAGAGTTTGAAAAATAATATTATAAAAATGAATAGAATTAGGGTTGTTTAGGGTAGTTTATTTGGTGAGGTGGCGTTTTGAAAACGCACCCAAAACGCCCCCGACATGTTTGGGTAAACTGCGTTTTGGCAGCTTATGCGTTTTCAAAACGCCGAAAATAACGTTTTCAAAAAAATAAAAATTTATAATAGCCAATGCACCTAGCTTAGCAGATTATTCAATAAGCTGCAGCTACCCCAAACAGACCCTTAGAGATAGAATTATAGTCTTAAAGATTATAATTGATACTAAGAATTTCTAATATTATAAGTTTTTATGCCTCTCAGCTAAGTTTAGATTAGTTTTTTTTTTTTAAAAAATTGGAATGACTTAGAAGAATTAATACAAATTATATCTCTTGAATAAAAAAAAATTATTTAAGGAGATTTAAATGAACATATTGGTAGAATGATATATGAATTTAGAAACACTACTGTTTTGAGTGGTTAATGAAGAAGGTAAAACCATATTAGATTTTGTTTTAACTTATATTTTTGTTATTGCTAATACGTTATTTAAGAAAAGAGATTAAAATATTATTACTTATAAATTTTGTATCTAATAAAACACAAATTGATTATTTTCTTATGAGAAAAAGAGATCGTCGAGAATGTACAGACTGTAAGGCCATTCAAATTGAAAACTTAAGTACTCAATATAAATTATTAATTCTAAATTTTAAGATGGGAAGTTGGAAGGTAACGAATAATATAAAACATTTTAGAAAATTAGATGAGGGCTTTTAAAAGACAAATAAAATTATTTTTATGATTAAACTTTTAAGATTTTATAATTTGGGATGTTCATGAAGAAGCTAATTTTATTTGAGATAAAGTAACAAACACTACTAAAAAAGTGACAAAAGAGACTTGGAGAATTAAAAGAAATATTTTTTATAAATAAAAAGAATTGGTGGTAAAATAATAATGTGCAAGAAAGGATAAAATATAAAAAGTTTTTTCATAAAACATGGTTTAAATGTAAAAAACTAGAGAATTGGGAAAAATATAAGGTTACAGTACGAAGTCTGGAAGATTAGTTTGTGATACTATAAATTATATTTTTACTGATCATTATAATAAATTGGATGCTAAAGAGGTTGAAAGATATATGTATAAATTATCCAAATAAAAGGAAAAGAAAAGTAAAAATTTAATTCCAGTAAAGTGTATTAAAGATGAAATTAAAAAAAGTTTTCTTTTGAGATTAGAAATATCATGTAACAGAACAAAATACATTTTAGATATCTTGGGTATGTTGTTCAAAGTGATGGTGATGTAGAAGGGGATGTAATTAGAAGAATTCAAGTTGGGTGGTTGAAGTATAGGAAAGCATCGGCCTATTGTGTGATAGAACAATATCGCTTAGACTTAGAGAAATTTTTTTTAAGATGGTGGTAAGACCTGAAATGCTTTATGACGCAGAATCTTGACCTATAAAAGATAAGCATAAAATTAAGTTAAATGTTGCTGAGATGAGAATGCTTAGGTGGATGTGTGGCTTGACTCTTAAAGACAAAAAGTGAAACAATTGTATCCTGAAAAGGTTGGTGTATTGGTGTAGCTCCAGTGGTGGACCCAGTGGTGGACAAGATTATAGAGTTGTCTTAGATGGTTTGGTCACATTAAACGTCGACCATATGATGATCCGATTAGGAGAGAAAATGTTTTAGATTCGACTTTTGTTAAGAACGAAAGATTTTGACCTAAAAGATATGGGCATGTTATATTAAAAATGATCTTAATTTATTAGAATTAAATGAAAATATGAAACTCAATATGACACAATGGAGAAAAATAGTTCTTGTAGCTAATCCCACTTAGTGGGATAATGGATTATTGTTGTTGTTGGATGTTATGATCTTGGTATCAAAGATAGTTGGAGAAAGTGGTGGTTCAAGTTTGCCAAGTTTTGAATGGAATGGATTATCCACGAGAACTAGGTTGCACTCCCTAAGAAAATAATTCAACAAAAACTCGTGGATGTGTTTTTGTTCCAGAAATGAAGCTCTTGGATGCAAGGATTGGTGTTGTGTTGTAATTGCAGCCAAATGTGTTTAGGGGCACAATGTGAGTGCACGATTGCCAAAAGTCTACTAAAAATGTGCTCTCCTTTGTATTAAAATAGCATGAACAAGTTGCATGCAAGGAGCTAAAGTCTCCTCATTTTTTGCTTGTATTTGCGAGCTTTTTCTAGTAGACAAGTTAAATAATTAGTGATGAGAAAAAAATAATGAAGTGGAGTGCCATCTGAAGACTTCTTTTTGAATTGAAGAGAAGGAAATTTCAAGCGAGGGGATTTAATAATTCTTTTTTCTGAAGGGAGGTGGTAGCTGCCCCCATCAATAGTGTGTATGTGGCAAAAAGTGCATGGGAGTATGTGTGAAATGCCAACACATCTATTTTCTCTTTCTTTTTTTAATTTTTGGGAAATATGGCTTTGTGTTCTCCTTTTGCTCCTCGTCTTCACTTATGGAGCGACACTTTCTAGGGTGAAGGATTACAAAAATTTTTTTCCTTTCTAATCATGCTGCCCCTTTTGGGATATTATTTCCTAGGGGTGACCATTTTGCTATTAAATTTATGTATGTTAGCCGGGAAAAAGAAGAAAATGTAATAGACAAAAAAATATAAAGTTTTTGAATTAAAAATACAAGTCTCATGTTTTTACGAGAAGGCTCATTAGATGAATTGCTTTTGGTCACCCAAGTTCAAAGATCAAAATTCTGAAATCGATAAGTGACCAGATAAATGAATGTCAATGCTCGAATTTTCATGATTCTCATCTCATTTTTGCCATGTTTTGCAGGTGGATGTAAGTTCATGGTTTACATCCTTTAGCTAACTATATAGCTACTAGCTCAGATATCTTTTATGATTCATGAAGTTGGCCTTGTGTGCATGGTTACATGTTTTGTTTGCATGCAAACTATTGCAATGAGCTTTTTTGCAAATAGATGGAGAGAATAGGATAACTTGAATTGGAGTTTCACCATGATTTTTTTCATAAATATCTGTGCTTGTACTCTAGGTTGCAATTCTATTGTTTGCCAATATGTTACTAGTTAATTTTTTTAAAGTTTGTATTTTTTGTACGGTATTGCAGTACTTTCACTGCCTGAGTATTCATTAACTGAGTTTCATGATAGAGTTGGTTCAGAAATAATGTTATTCTTCAGATTTCACAATCAAAATTGTGTATTTTGCTCTGTTATGATATTTAAAATCTCAAAAAGAGCAATAAATTTCATCTTGCATGTTGGATGGGGAGGAGGACTGTGACATCTGAAGTTTTCTGATGTGTACATTCTAAACAAAGCATACCCCGTAATGCTTTGGATTTCCTTGCCATTCTAAGCCATGCTTATCCACATTTCAGAGTTGAGCTTTAAATGAGCCAAAGTAAAACACTCTTGTTGAGTTCTTGTCATCTCTTAGATTGACTTAAAAAAAAAGCTTTTTATTAGAGTTGATTGATAAACTATTATATGTTCTGCAATCCCTGTAAAATTAATGGGGGCAAAAAAAAGTGGGGATGGACGACGGGTTCATGCGATGTGTGTTTTTCGTATTAGAGATTTTTTTTTTCCAGTTTTTGAGATTATAGTTTGAAGGCGAAGATAAAGAAAATCTATTGGCAATCTCTTTAAAATTAATGTAAAATTTGTTTTTCTTTGAATCTGTCTTTTCGTATTAAAGCACTAATTTATATACTTCGCGTTACATTTACTTCTCCCCTTGCTTTGCTTATGCAGATAGCTCACATGGAGATGATAAAAGGAATTTTTGGACATGGTTATTATGATGAGCTTGTAATTCCAATAATTGAGAATACTGCTTATGAAAGGGAGCTCACAAAATCATTAAGTGAAGCTGTAAATTCTCATTCTATATACCGATTTCATATTCTGGTTGTCAGAATTTTTTAGCGTAGTTTTACACTCCAATATAGTAATGTTCTCTTTCTTGAGTTGCTAGGCTTGTTAGTGAATTCTGTTATTAAAATTGTTGCTTCATTAGCTACATTAAACTATTTGAGGATTTAATGAATTGACTTGTATTAGAAATTATTTTATTTGCAAATAAATTTTGATGTTTGAGTTCGAGATATGAACATCAATATGATATAATGCCTATTTTTAGTGTAGTCTTATATGATTATAATTTTAAATTGTGAGCCTATATCGAGAAGTCAAACTACAATTTAAGCTATGTAAACTTGTTAGCTATTAAAGAAGTTAAATTTCAAAAGCCCATGATCAAAATAATGTGGCCAAAATGGTTAATTTTTCCAAACAACCCTTATTAAATGCATCTCTTAAGTTAATGAGCAATCATTCATAGTGGAGTATGTCAGTCATTTACAAAATTAAGTACTTTCAATCTAAACATTGAGCCCATTAGAGTTGACCAGACCAAAACGAACAAAATGCGATATCTCTTCTACAATTGCTTCAATGCATGCAAAAGTTCTAAAACTCTGCTCTGCTAGCAATGATACCTGCGTGCTAAAATAAGGCCAAATGAAGAATGAAACATCTAATCTCTTGAGTCTAGATTTAATTTTTGACTTGATGACTGCCAATCCCTCTTTTAACTTAAAAGGACAAATTTTCTTTATAAGAGTCAATAAAATTACAAAACATATGTTAAAGAAATGAAAGTATAAACTTACAAAGTTTAAGAATTATACAAATGGTTACTTTGTGGTTTGTGCTGCCACCCTTTTACCTTTTTTATTAAATATGCTTATGGTGTCAAAAGTAAAAAAAAGACTAATTTGTACATAGAAATTGTTTGTATCAATTTAACTAGATTGGTCATTTTTATAGGCTCATTGCTACCAAGGATGGTATTATTGCCTATAAATCAATTTATCATGACTAAAATGAGGCCCTAAACCATATCTTAGCCTTTCTTTTAAAAACTCATAAGTCTCCAATGGTCAAATTCTCCCAACTTTAAACCATAAGGTTTATATTATAGAGTAATAAACCTTTTATTAGTCGAGGTCTGCCTTGAAATTAGCTATATTAGAGAAGAGATCACATTGTCCCTAATGTTGCTAATTTGGTGTAAAAACCCTTGTAAAAGTATAGTCTTTTGACTATTAATACGAGGGCTCGTCTATTGATGTTAGATAATGGAAGAATGTGATTGTGATAGGATGATTCCGGAGTTAAACGAAAACCCAATAGGAAAAACAAAATTTTATTATGCTTAGCAAATAGGGTTACAATCGATGGCAATTCCTATAAGATAACAATAACGCACAAACAAGAACCTCATTAAGTGAGGAGGAATGTTGGCGACTAATATAGAAAGTGTGGGATGGCTGTTGGCTGGTCAACAAGTAGTCTCCAGTGCATGGGGAAGCAGTAGCCAACAGGTTAGTGGAGAGGGGGGAGGCAGCCTCAGCTCGTGTTCGATTCGTTAAAAAATCACTGTTCGTGTTCGGCTCGTTTATAATTCGAACACAAAAAGTGTGTTCGTGTTCGACTTGTTTGCTTAGCAAGACGAACACTAACTGTTCCCCAACAAAGAGTCGTTTTGACAAATATAATCATGCAACCGTATAATGTTAAGGGATGGGGCATAATTTAAATCTTTTTGTTTATATTAGAACATCATTTAAATATATTTTGATATAATTTATTTTATTTTTTAATTAATAAGTTTAATTGAGTGTAAAGCCTTGTAGTCAATGAAATTTTTAAACATACAGCTCATCAATATATATATATATATGTATATATATATATATATATATATAATTGATGAGTAGTATTTCGAGCCAAAATGAGCCGAATACGAATGAAAAAATCTTGGTTCATGTTCGGCTCGTTTATATATCGAGCACAAAAAAAGGTATTCGTGTTCGGCTCGTAAACTTAGCGAACAAATCGAACACAAGCTTCTTAACGAGCCGAACACGAGTTGTTCGCGAACAATGAGCTATTTTGACAACCCTAGAGGTAGCATCAGGTTTTAAAAGGTTGAGAGCTGTAGCAGAATTTCTGGAGAGGGATTGGAGAGGTTGACGGCAGTAGGTGTGGTGCCGAACGGATAGGATGACAGCATGGAAGGGGGCCAGAAGGGCCTGGGAGATAGCGGGAAGGTACAAGGGTGACGAATGGTATCATGGAAGGTGTAGGGGTGGCTGGCCGCAGTAGGACTATTACAGGAATAACTGGCGGTAGCAAGGAGGGCGAGAAACAAGTTAGGACAATCACCACCTCAGATGAGTTATAGCTAGAGCATCTTTTCGCCATCGGATACATCCCTCAGAAGGGAGAAACATTGGAGGTAGAAATCTGAAATCAGAGACAGTCAAGAACTACCCTTTAAGCAAGCAAATCAACATGTATATAATAGATGATAGTAGATAGAACTAGAAGGTAATGGAAAAGGAAATGGATGGAATATGAAGGGAATAGAATAGGGAAGGGAGGTGGGTGACAAAAATAGAAAAGGGCCCTCTCCCTTGGACGACAAAGCCCCCTGAATCAATCGGCTGGCCCTAGAAACTCCCTGGCTGGGATCGGTTGGTCCAACACTTCCACCGCATATGGGCTGCGACAATTAAGCCTCACATCATTCTCCCCAAGTTGGGAAGCTTCGACTTCACCATCCGAACCTCTGCATCTTCGAAATACGACATCAGGTTTGTAACATTGAACATGACTAAAACATTGTAGTCTTCTGGTAGGTCGATCTTGCAGGCATTATCATTCAACTTCCTTAGTATTTTGAAAGTTCTATTTGCTCTGAGCTTAAGTTTTCTGCATGCTCCTACTGGGAATATATCTTTCTTCAGCCAGATCTATAGTTAGTCTCCTTCTTTAAAGGTCGCCATTTTCATTGTCTTGTTCGCCTATGCCCGCTACTTTGATTTTGCTTAGTGATCTGTCTTCTAACTTTCTCGCGGAGTTTCTGAATCTCGTGCACCCATTCCTCTGCATCCTCACTAATCTCCAATGCCGGAAGAAGCAGTTCCAATTCCAGTGGAGTGAGTGGGCTGTGCTTGTACACAATCTTAGATAGAGTGCGACCCGTGGTCTGACTTATGGATTTATTGTACACAAAATCATCCTGAGAGAATAAAATCCCAGTGTTTGATATTTTTTCCAACAAAGCATGTCAGTAGATTTCCAAGGCTCCTGCTTACTAGCTCTGCCTGGCTGTTAATTTGAGAGTGCGCTGCGGAACTGAATTGAAGCTTAGTGCTTATTTTTTCTTATAGATTCTTTCAGAAGTGGCTCAAAAATATGACATCCCTGTTTGACATGATGATCCAAGGCATCTCGTGCAGTCTTACAATTTCTTTGAAGTACAAGTCGACGACATACGAAGCATCCAGTGTCCTGTGTAATGGTACGAAATGTGTACTTTTGAGAATCGATCTACGATGATCATGACTGAATTTTTATTTTGTTGTGTTTTTGGAAGTCACACCAAAAAGTCCATGCTAAAGTCCACCCACGGGGCCTCTCGTACTGGTAAGGAGGTGTATAACCCAACATTTTGCCCCTTGGTTGTTGCCATATGACAAATTCTACACTTTCTGACGTTTCGCTCTACATCCCTCGCTGCTAAAATGTTTGGCCAGTCCTCAACTTTGGCTTTCTTGTACAATGGCCTCCCTCAGCGAGCATCTAGGAAGGCACCACTTGCTTTCGTAGAACTAGTAGCTATCAACTATGTAGTGCTGCTCGATTGACTTCTCTTGACATTGCTCCCGAATCTCCTTGAAGTCTTTGTCTGCCTCAACCAAGTCCTTTTACAATCTCAAAACCCACCACTTGAGTTTGCATCGATGCGATCAACAGGTGAAGACGACTTAGTGCGTCTGTTCTGTTATTCTGGCTCCCTACCTTGTGCTTAATCACAAACTGGAATGATGCTAGAAATTCCACTCCAGTTGCGTGTTGGCCCTTCAACTTAATCTGGTTGCTCAAGAATTTCAAGGCTTCATCGTCCGCGAACAATGTGAACTTACTTTTCAGCAGATAATAGCTTTAGGGCTCAAAAGCTCTCACAATAGCATAAAATTCCTTGTCGTGCATTGAGTATCTCCTCCTGTAATCATCATTTTTTCAATTAAAAAGATGACAGGGGGACCTCCTAGCTCAACACTACTCTTATCCCAACACAGAACACATCTGACTCTACCTTGAACAACTTACCTTGAACGGCTGGTTGAAGTTTGGTAGTGCCAAGCCTTCATCTGGATTGCTTTCTCCTTGAGTGTATTGAAACTAATTGAGCTGCCTCTGTCCATTGAAATTTGTCTCCTTTCAAAAACATCTGTCAGCGGAGCGGCGATGACACTAAAGCTCTTGATGAATCGTCTGTAAAACGATGCTAGTCCCAAAAATTGTCTCTGCTCTATGAAAGATTGTGGTGCGGTCCAGCTTGCAATGGACTTTATTTTTGTCGGATCCATCTGAATGCTTACACTACACAATGTAACCCAAAAAATATATTTGGTTTGTCATGAAGTGACACTTCTTTTGATTGCCATACAGTTGCTCTGTGCCCAAAACCTCGAATACAAGTGTTGTAAGTGCTCCTCCTCAGATCAGCTGTATGCCACAATATCATTAAAGTAGACCACCACAAATTTTGCAATGTGGGCTTGGAATACTTGATTCATCAACCTCATAAAAGTACTAGGCACGTTTGACAAACAGAAGGGCATAACTGCCCATCGTTAGATCATCTCGTGCCTTGAAGGAGATCTTCCACTCGGCCCCTGACCTCATTCATATTTGGTGTAGTACCCACCGCGTAAGTCGATTTTGGAAAAGATGGTGGCTCCGTGTAACTGGTTCAAGCAATCATCCAGGCGATGCATGAGAAACCAATACTTGATGATAATTTTGTTGATGGCCCTGCTTTTGATGCACATCAGCCATGAATCACCATAAGGACGGGAGCAACATATAGACTGGTACTCTCTCTAACCAACTATCTCAAGCAGAGATCCTGTACCTGTTATTGCAACTCCTCGTACTTCGCAGGTCTCAATCTGTAGGTGGGCCAATTCGACAACACTGTTCGACGTGCTGAATGTCTCTCAATGGTGATAATCTCTCTGAAAGACAATCAGTCACACATCTTGAAAGTTTTGTAGTGGCTGTAGTGGTACTGGTATCACACTATCCTCCTTGGTTACCTCTAATAGGACTAGTGCTGGTGTCGTTGGAGTATCCCAAATTATTTGCATGAAGGTGGCCTTTGAGACATATACATCTCACATCCTTAACAGGTAATAACATAATGTATATTCCATCCTTTTTAAAAGAGTAAGTATTCTTTAAGCCGTTGTGTTGAGTCTTGCGGTTGAACTGCCAATACCTTCCCAATTGAATGTGATACACGTCCATACAGACCATGTTGCTTCACACTTGCTTCTGAAGCTGATCTCTAATCGAAATTTCACCAAATATTGCTGATCCACGGGTATTTCATTTCCCTTTTTCAACCAGGTAAAGCAGTAGGATGGGGAAGCTTCTGGGTTGCCAACCCCCCAGTTTCTGCTTCATTAGTGTGGATACTACATTCTTACAACTACCATTGTAGATAATCAAATTGCACATCTTGCCCTTTGGCCATATACGTGGTGCAAAAAATACTGTGCCTCAGCCATGATTGATCTTTCGCTAGCTCAATCTGTAGAACTCTCTAACATCTCTGCCTTGCCACCTTAGAGCTAAAGTTCCCTCTTTGGATTCACCTCTGATTCCTCTTCTTCCACTTTTTCGACGCTGCCCTAATCTGCGAATGATACAACTAGGCTTGTGAGGCAGCTGACAATTATATGTACATAGCCGTGGCACCAAAAACATTTCATGGCGGGCACTTTATTGGGCGAGCTATCCTTTTCTGGCTTCTTGCTATTCAAACTGTTTTGTCATTGCCTTGTGCTATCCTTCCAACTCCTCCTCAAGTAGCCTTGTAGGTAGTTGTAGCTGCAGATGATGGCCTGATTGAGGACTGCTGGCTGTAGGGTGTTCGTGGCCTGTCGGGCTTCTACTGTTTTTCTACATTCAAAGCTAAAATTTGAACATCTCCAAGCGACCAATAGGGCTTCAGTTGAACCATGTTGCTAATGGTGGGCTTCAAAGGCGATCATATGTTCCTCTGGCTCAACCAATTCGCACTTTATCTGTAATTGGTCAAACTGCGCTACGAACTCCACTGAAAGATCTCTCAACTGCAGGTGGAGTCTTAGAAACATGCTTTGACAGTAATGAGGTGGAAGGTATTTCCACTGCATCTCCTTCCTCGTATTTTCCCACTTGGTACTCTTATCACCGCCTCCTCTTTTTCTGTCTTTGCATATTCTCCCACCATAAGGAGGCTCTCTTTTTTATTTTGATGGTGACTAACTTTACCCGTTTATCTTTTGTCACGTCTTTATATTTGAAGATTCACTCTATTGATTGGAGCTAGTTGACAAAGTCATCAGGATCCATAACTTCGTTAAACGCTGGCAGATCCACTTTGATGCAAAAGTCTGCGTGTTCTCCATATGTGTGCTCCTCTCTCGGCCTCCTATGATATTGAATTTTGAAGCGGTGTGGCTAATAATCCTCGTTGCTGATATCTTTCTTGTGTAATGGATTCAGATACTCTTCCATCTCTCTCCTTCAACTCTCCAGATTTTGGTCGAGAGTAATTTCCCCTTGGGTCCCATCATCCATCTCTGCCAATCTCTGTTGCAGACGACGAATCTTCCATTGTATCTTTTCATGGGTGGGGTCCGACATGTCTCCTTGGTGGCATGGTTTAAAGTTTGGGATTTGTCGAAGTTGGAAGGGTATTTAGTGGTTGGAAAGAAAAATTGGGTTATGGAGGATTTTAAGGAAACCTAGGATTTGACTAAGGATAGGCTTGCTTTGATACTAAATGATACCAGAGTTAACCCAAAATCCAATAGGAAAAACAAAATTTTATTAGCCTAGCAAATAGAGTTACAATCACGACACTCGTAGTAAGAAAACAACAACACACAAACAAAGACCCCAAATAAAACGAGGAGGAATGGTAGTGGCTAATATGGAAGGTGTGGGATGGCTATTGGCTGATCAACAGGTTGACGACAGTGTGCGGGGAAGCGGTAGCCAGTAGTTTAGTGGAGAGGAGGGTGGCGGCAACAGGTCTGGAAAGGTTCGAAGTTGTGGTAAAACTTTTGGAGAGGGGACTGGAGAGGCTGTTGGCAGCAGATGGGGTGTCGAAAAGACTAGGCTGCAGTGGGGAAGGGGCCCCAAAGCTCCCGAGCGACAACAAGAAGACACAGGGGCGTCTAATGGTAGCAGGGAAGGTGCAGGGGTGGCTGGTGAAAAGTAGGATTGGTACGGGAAAGGCTGGCGACAGCAAGGAGGATAATCACCACCTGGGACGAGTTATAGCCGAAGAACCTCGCCATCGGATACAACCCTCAGAAGAGAGAAATGACGGAGGCAGAAAATTGAAATTAAAGAATAAAAAACTACCCTCTAAGCAAACAAATCAACATATATGCATACATACATACATATACATACATATACATACATACATACATATACATACATATACATACATACATACATATACATACATATACATACATACACATACATATACATACATATATATATATATACATACATATACA